TCTGCAGAGAAGAGAAGAATGATGTTGGAACCAAATTATATCCATCTGTGATAAAAGGAACCAAATCAAGATTAACATTTACCACAACGACTTGATTAAGTGGTATCTTGAAATATGAAACCAGCTGCCCAACCTGTACAGTTCAGGGCGTCAAACAAGGGAACAACGGAAGAAGTAGTTTCAAGTTTGTTTTGCAAGCATTATACTTACAGACTCACCGCTTGCATTCATAAATGTTTGCGGCTTGGCAAGCATGATAGGAACATCTCCAATACGACCTGAACGATTACAAACAATTTTACAAATGTCTATGTGCCTACAGAATGTTAAAGGAGTAACATGCATCTAGTGATGTTAAATAATCAGGAATAGGTTATCCTGAAAACTTTGGTGAGAATATTACCTTTGCCGACCATTGCCTTGAACTGCATACTGCTGAGTGATACACCCTCTGTTTCTGCTATAGCATCAATCATCTCGAATCCAACCTGTGAAAAAATGGATACAACCTTTACTTAAATAGAGATACTGTAAATAGAAGTTATGTGCAATTCAATTCTATACAACAAAGTATGAAACAAGAGCAAACTTAAACGAAATGACAAGCAGTGCAGAATAACCAGTTTTGCTGCCTATAAAGGGTAGTATCCTTCGTAATATATACTCCCTCCGTCCCAAAATAAGTGTCTCAACTTTGTACTTAACTTTAGTATACCTTGGATAAATAAGTATCTGGCTAGGACATTTAGCTGTTGCTCCAAATTCTTTACCAAAAAGTGGTGATTGGTCTAGATAACCATCCAGATACGGATATTGTCACGCTGAGATAGTATAAGATGAAATTCTGATAACCACCATGATTACGAAATGTGTTTATCAACAACAGGTTAACAGCCAATCACAAAGACAATATCTTCAATCGGTCAGCTAAAACAGAAAGCAGGTTTACACTCGCAAAATTGCTGCTAGCATGTTCCTACAATCACATACCAAATGTTCATGCCTACGTCCTCACTATTCACTGATCAAAGCGTGCAACCATTTTGGCGTCCAACTCCAATATGTACCAATTCTCAACATTTCAACCCACGAGTAACTAGGATAATTCCACAATCCCACCGAGCAGAATGATGGGTTTTACAGTGAATAGAGCATGCACGGAAGCTTACGTTGTGGCGAGTCCTCTGGTACATCTTCCCGGGGTTGCCGAGCCCAACGAACAGCCACGGCTTCCGCGCGCCGCCGTCACCGACGGGCGCAGCTGACGAGGAGGCGGCCCGGCAAGCGGAGGCGGAGGAATAGCGCGACACACATCTAGGCCTTGCCCGCGCCAAAAAGGGGAGGGACGAGGGGAGGCGGGAGGCCGAGGCGCCGGAGAGCAGCCGCATCGCCGCCGTTGTCGCCGGCACCACCAATTGGGCACCGGTAGTGATTGGATGGGACAGGGGCCTGAACTCGGAGGAACGCTGGGCTTCTTAGGTTAGGTTAAATGGGCTAACCATGCAGGTAGTTAG